CCCCTCTGGGGTCCTTGGGTCCTTCCTGGGTCTGTTGTCGCGCAGGCCGGGAGCTCACGCGCACGCCGCCGGGTGATCGCAGACAGGCAGGTAGGCAGGCAGCTGAGAAAAACCCCCTCTGGGGTCCTTGGGTCCTTCCTGGGTCTGTTGTCGCGCAGGCCGGGAGCTCACGCGCACGCCGCCGGGTGATCGCAGACAGGCAGGTAGGCAGGCAGCTGAAAAAAACCCCCTCTGGGGTCCTTGGGTCCTTCCTGGGTCTGTTGTCGCGCAGGCCGGGAGCTCCCGCGCAGGCCGGGAGCTCACGCACACGCCGCCGGGTGATCGCAGACCTTGATATCAATTCTTAAACCAGCCAATCTTTAAAAAATAAAAAAGTAAAATGTTTTGATAAGTGTATCATGTGAGATTTGGCACCTAAACCTCACTCAAATTTTTTTTTCAGTCAAAAAAGTATCAAAAGATTAGGATATACATATTCGCTTAGTGATCCTATTCTTAATCAGACCCAGTACAATGATGAATATGTTTGGAAATCGTATTCTAAAGAAAATTTGATAAATGGAACTGCAAGAGAAATCAAGAGCTACAAATTTCATCCCAATCAAGTAAGATAACATCTACATATCTATAGAATTTAATACTGTACCAACAACCAGTAAGAATGGGTTGATAAGAATGAATTTTAATGTGCTACAAAAACTCTTCATCTTCTATTGTCATGGGACACATGATCCCTCTTCCACTATTTCTTACCTAATGTTTTCCATTTCTTTCTAACCATTTCTCTTTCCCCTAGTTTTTTAAAAAGTTTTTTTTTATTGAAGTGAAGTTCATATAATATAAAATTAACCATTTTTTGTGAACAATTGGGCCTGGGATTTAGCTCAGTGGTTCTGGCGCCTGCTTCGCGAGTGCAAGGAACCGAGTTTGATCTCCAGTAACAACAACAACAACAAAAGTGAACAATTCACTGCCATGTAGTATATTATATTGTGGAATCATCATCCCTACCTTATTGCAAGATATTTTAATCATCCCAGAAGGAAACACAGTAATCATTAAACCATTATTCCCCACTCCTCTGTCCCACTGCTCCTGGGGACCACCAATCTGCTTTCTATATGGATTACCTATTCTGAATATTTTATATGTGGAATCAATCAAATAAGTAAACTATGTGTCAGGCTTTTGTCACTTAACATAATGTTTTTCAGGTTCTCTAGGAAGTAGAAAGTTGATCGAGTGATCGGTCCACATGGCATGATTGAGTAATACAGTATGTCAATACTACAGCACGTTCATCTTCTGTTGATGGATATTTGGGTTGACTCCACCTTTTGGTTATTGTGAATAGTGCTGCTATGAAGGATATGTACAGGTGTTTGTGGCAAGAATTATAAAGGCATTAGAAGCAAGTGAGAGAATTTTGGGGAGGATTAATGACAGTGTGTCTTTTTCTCCAATTAATTTTCATTATTTAGCATACACTGCCTATTTCCATCACCCCTTGTACATAATTCACAGGCACATAGTTTTCCTTCTTTTACATGCCATTAAAGGTGCTCAGTCACAGCTGGTGTAGTATACTTTCCTTTGTGCTTTCAGCCAATGAGTGTGGCACCAGACCGCAGACCCTATTAATGTAGGCATTGAACCTTCACAACTGCTCCCATCAAACAGAGAAACAATAATAATGGCATTGTTATTATTGCACTTCTTTCTCCTGCAGTCTTACCAAACACCACTTACAGTCTATGTGAGGGCTCTACCCTGAGTCTGAGTCCTATGGGCAGAGATGTGTTAAATAGCTCAAAGAGCATGCAATTAACAAAAATCAGATTGAGAACCTCTACGCATCAAAGGGCTTCTTCAACAGACATATTATCTTCACATTTGGTTGCTTAGCAGATTAATTATAAGGGAAAGGGGGACTGAAAGAGAGCCTGAATATTAAAAGATACTTGAAAAATAAATTTGGGACAGTGAATGTACACATTGCTTTGAGGAACTTCAGTGTGAAGGGAGACTGAGAAGCATCTTAGTAACTAGAGAGGGAAGCAGGGTCAAGTGAGGGTTTTCTTTGTGGCACAGGAGAAATAAAAGCAAGCTTGCTTTGCTGATTGCAATGATTCTGCAGAGAGAGAAATTACAGTTGCAGGAGAGAAGTGAGATTGTTGAAGTGTAATCTGCAGCAGATCTAGGGGACAGATCTAGGGAGTGCCTTGGCTCAACTCTTGTCACAGCAGATGAGAGCGAAGGTGCAGTGGCTGGGAGATGGTGAGGAAGGCTGTGGCATGTCTTCACTGATGGTTTCCATTTCTGAGAGGGGTAAGAAACATGGCCATGAGAGAGGGAAGATGGAAAGAGGTGGGGAAGTTTCAAGTTGTATAATCCTTGAATCTCTTTGGTGCTGCAAAGGCGGACAGAGACAATGCCTGCCTGCATGATGTCTGCCTGTGAGTCAATACTTCTCTCTGGGGCTCCCAAGGGGAAAACAGCCGCTATCTCTGTGGCTTGAGAAGATGTGAATAGCATGGGTTTTCTCCTCCTCTGATCTTGTCTATAGGAGTAATCTGCTTAGAAGAGCAAGTCTTTGGAGTTTTCAACCACATTTTCTTGTCTTGAGTGTAAAAGTTCAGAGTAATGCATTCAGTACCTGTGTTACAGCTAGGTAAACCAACGGTTACTGTCACAAACTCCCACAACACACAGGCAACTGCGGTGCTGTAGCTAGATGTAAAGGATTCCAAAGAATATGTACATAGGCACTCATGTCCTTGACTTCATTAGGTGAACCTGTATGGATTCTCTGAAAAACCTTATTTGTAATGATAGGGATTTGAATGGACACTACCTAAAGGGCGTTCAGTGATGACACCAAGAAGCTGCCTCTCTTGGAAAATTCCTGCTTCCATGGAAGAAATTCAGAAAGCAATTGCAGATCAGTTCATTTCTTGTACTAAGAGAGACTTTCTGGACCACACCAAAGGTAAACAGGTTTGCTTTTCTCCTTCCCCTGGTCATGTGCTTGGCACTGCTATTGCAGTGGCCAGCAACATTGATGTGGTCTCTTCCCCCTAGAAACTCACAATCTAGACACAAAACAGGAAATTTCACAAACAAAGTCATTCAAGTATAAAAAGATGCACATTGAAAAAAATTCAGGTTACTATGGGAACAGAATAGCGCATCTGGCTTAATGTGTAGGAGTGAAGGTGATGCTAGAAAGGGCTTCCTTCCCACACCTGAAGCATGATGAGAAATTAGCCAGTCAAGGACAAGGGGAGAGTGCTGGGATTATGGGCATGTGCTACCATGCCAGCTTTGGATTACATTATTCTATTGCTTTCTTTTACCAGCTTTCTATTGCACTTTGCACAAAATCCAAATTCAGTTCCACTGTGAGTTCCTAAGGTCCTGTTAAGTTGGTCCTTATAACCTCTTTATTTGATCTTCCTCATTCCTGAGTTTCCAGTCTTATGGGTCTTTATTTTAGTTCCTGTGAGATGCCTACCTTTTCCCCACCTTTGCCAGTGTCCTTTTTTGCCTGTAATATTCCTCCCCAGATAGCTTCCTGTGGCTTTCCTTGGTCAGGACCTGTTTCAATGTCACCTTCCCTGAGAGGCCCTTTCGCACTAATTTATCTGGAGAACTGTACCATGATCCCTTGCATCTAGGATTAGTATTTTGAATTCATTTGTTACTGACACTCATCTTCTGTTGTTTTTGTTTTATGCTTTCCTCTACTATTCTGCAAGTTCTCACAAAGCTGCCCACTCAGGGCTCAGTAGATAGAAAGAGCCCCTCACATATTTGTTGAATGACAGAATATATGGAAAGTACTCTTTGAAGCTGGGTGGGCATGGGATTAAAAGACTTCTATACCTGCCGATAAACATTAAGGATTAAGAGAAAACATTTGAAATATCAGCATTCTTAAAAGATGTTTTTGAGTTTCTAATCAAAGTTCTCATTCAGCATTAGCAAATTACCATTTCCCTGTGTCAGGTAAATACCTAGGACCTGTCAAGATTCTCTCCTAAATCTCTCAACTCCATCTGCTTCTATCCTTCCGGACAGCCCTAGCCTATTAGGTCAGGGTACCAATATCTCTCCTTGGATGACCATCAGTCCAACTGTCTCTCCTACTTGTGTCCCCTCTAATCCACTCTCTACCCTATCGCCATAGTGAGTTTCTGGCTGTGCAAATTGATATCATGTTTAGTTTATAATCCTTAAGACACTTCCTGTTGTCCTCAGGATAAAAGCTAAGTGTCTTGGCTATATTATCTGTGTCATCTAGTCTTTGCTTTCAGCCTTCTCCCCAGCCTGCCCCTACCTGCCTGGAGAGACTGCACTGTTGCCCATTCTGTAGATTCACCACACCCCCTATTGTCTCCCCCTCTCTGCACACCTTTCTTCCTCCTGTATAAAACAGCTCTCCATTTTTTTTCTTTTGACCTATGGTGACCTACCACTTCATTCTGGATCTAGGCTTCTCTGAACCCAAACTTTGGGTAGATGGTTCCCCATGTTTTTGTAGCCCCACTAATTCTAACCTCTTTTGCAGGATTTATTGCATAATAGTTTAATGATTTTATTTGTGTGCTTTTCTGTAATCCTTGAAGCTTCTGAAGAAGAGTGATCACATATTAGTTTTTGATTTATCCTCATTACTGAATTAACATTAATGAACAAAGAGCACTAAAAGGTGCTTGTTTTCACATTCAGACTTGGAGAATTTGGTTTTGATGTAACAGAACAGCTGGTGAAAACAGTAGAATCAGTTCCTCCTTTGCTACAGACCATGTGGCCAATGGTCCTAGTAGTTTCCAATGGTCCTTTTGGATTGAGCTTTTCTGCAGAGCCCTAACTCATGGGGCCAGTTTTATTCTTTGGGCTAACTTACTGGTACATTATCACAATTTCAATGGGGAAGAAACCAGGGGAGTTGAGCAGAGATGACCTCTGGGGAGGACCCAGGGGTTGGGTCAGCTGAGCTCTGGATCATAGTTACCATACTTCAGGACCAGGATAGGGATCTCAGGTGTTGGTTGAATAGTGTCCCCTTCATAGTGATGCCTAAAGGAGCTCAGTAACATGAAATTTTATAAAGACATCAGTTGAGAAAAACTAAGCCCACATGCATAAACATTATACAGTTGACTTAGAGTTATCTTAAGCATATATCACCCAGGCAGTCACCAGAATGTGGTTCAGATATTAATTGCCAATTTATAGCAATTACATTTCTGATTATTTTTGTTGTTGTTCAGTTATAAACATAGTAAATATTTAATGAGGCCTATTACTGTGATAAGTACAAAGAATTAATAAAGAATAAGGCTTATTCTTTGTCTTCATAAGAACTTAGGAAAAGTTTAAGGGCTTTTCTGGGTCTTCATTGGCAATGATCCTACTCAAGATCCTTACCAGCCTGGTTCCAACTCATCTCTCCTGTTTCACCTTCAACTATTCCTTCCTGTCCTGTGTACCCCATAATCCACTAGCCACATTTCATGGGCACACTGTGTCCATTTTGCTTCTGTGTTGATCTGTCATCAAAGCCTTTCACTATGGCTCTTGTCTTCTCTTATTCCCCTAGCCTCACGCACTCTAGGCTTCCGTAGTACCTATTTAAGACTCTTAGTCAGTGATTCTTAAGCACATGGGAAATTTGTTCACAGTATAAGCACCTGGGGTCTCTACTTCTCAAGAGCCTTAATGTCTGGAATGAGATTCAGTATATATATCTTTAGAAATTTTCCAGGTGGTTCTGCCACTTTAACTCCATGTGAAAACCAGTTTCCGGTGTGGTGGTTGTGAGACTTACCACAATCCATATCTCTTTGTTTTGCAAATATCTAATCACAATAGTTTGGGGTTATCTGAAGGTGGAACAAGGACATAATTATCAATAATCTTGACAAAAAGCACAGAACATACCTAGGAAATGAAAACATATGCTGTATAGTGGTTCTCTAGGGGAGAAGAATAGACATGTGTCCTATATTTCAACAGAAACTTGCTTTCCTCTTATAAAACTATTGGTTAATGACAAAAACCAAGTTAGAGGTACAAGTTATTAGGAACAATACCAGATGAATTTCCAAAATATCTTCATGGGCAGTTTCTGAGGTCATTCTGAGTCCAGTAAGCATTTTCATCTTTATCTCCTAGGTAGTCTGAAGAAACAGGGAGCATAAGGTGAATCCACACCTCCTCTGCTGGTCTAGATAATTTTTTAAAAATCAATATTAAAATATTCTCCAGTGCTGGTAGATACAAGTAAATATCCTTTGATATACTATGTATTCCAGTGGATGCCACTATGACTCTTTTGATATACACTGTCTATTAGAATTTGCTTTTGAAAAATATCTATTGAAAAACTAATTTTAAGAAAATTGAGTTGTGTCAGTGTTAATTTGCACAGTTTGAACATTGCTTATTAAACCCATGTTTTTAATTTAGGCTCTTCTGAATAAGATGATGCTATAGTTTCTGAATTAAGACTTTGCAGAAAGAATTGGGGGTAAACATATTCTGAGAGGGCTTATGATGTGCTGTGTAATCTCCCAGAGTTTGTAGAACTGGTGTTTAATGATAATATATTTAATGAATATTTTTAGCAGGTATAGTTCAAAAAAATAATCATGTTGTTATTCTCTAATGACAATGGTGTTACCTAACCCTCTATCAGCAAAAGATAAGCTTTGAATGATTCTTTTCCAAGTAATGGGGATGATACACACCGTGCCATCTAGGGCTCCCAGGCTACACAAATTAAAATACAGGCTGCCTAGCAGCTAATGAGTACTTATACACACTTAAGCTAAAAATTGCCCATTGTTTACCTGCAATTCAAATTTAACTGGGCATTTTTTGTTTTAGATGGCAATTCTAGTCATTCCCCAAACCTCTCACTCTGCCCTGCTCTCACCACCAGAAGCAAAATGGTGAAATGCTACTCAGAAATAGCTTACTGGGAATAGTTAACTGCTTTCGTTTTCACTCTTACCCTAGCTCAGAAAATTAAGAAAAGTTCTCAGGTGTCCCTGGAATGGAGAAAGTCCCTTCCCCAACCTCTAGACACTGAATTTCGACGGAATTACCAAATTCCAGCTAAAATTCCTGAGTTGCAGGATTTTAGTTTCAGATATGGATGCTACTCAAGCCTGCCAATTGCTTCTCGGGGTCTAGGTGAGTACTCATTTAGTTTTAAAACAACCTTGTATATTCTACTGATATCCACTAGAAAGGGCTTACTACCTGATACACAGAACCCAGTATTATGGCTTCAATTTTTACAAAGAGGGGCTGTGTATGTAGCTCAGTGGCAGAGTGTATCTAGAAAGTGTGAAGCCTGGTTCAGCTCCAAGTACTAAACAAAGAAAGAGAGGAAGAAAAGGAAGGAGAAAAAGAAAAGGAAAGTAAGGAAGGGAGGAAGATGGAAAATAGATGATTGATAGATAGATAGACAGACACACAGATACATGGACAGATAGATAAGCGAGCTTCATTATAGGTCGGTGAACAAGGAGTCAGCTCAGTCTCCGCATGCCCATGTATATAGCAAAAGAATGATGGAAGGGCACAGGGTGAGGGTTACTGAAAGGCCCATTGTCCATAACCAGTAAACAGTCCTCACTGTGCACACCTGGCCTGGCAGAAGGTGCAATGCTGTGCTATTTGCAATTTCCAATCCCTCAGTTATCCTGGTCCACCCTGCAATTGTTGATGGCATCTTTTGCTTCTAATAGAGGTCTGAGAGGTCCTGTCCTCTTTCTTTAGGTATAGCTTAGGGATGACTTGGCTCTTCCTGACTCTCAAGGTCTGCACCTGTGTTCTGAAAATACCTCATGCAAAACTTTGTAAACAGAGCAGTTGCCATTTTCTGTCCTGATTTCACTATCCTATTGCTTTAAGAGTTTTCCTTAGCAGAGAGGGTCCTGCAAGGCAGTTTTGACAGTGGTCATAGGAAGGCTAATGTTTTGGACACATAACTGGAGACTTACTTCTGCTTAGACCCTCAAGGCCCGGGGACAAGGCATCTCAGAAGACTGCAAGCCAGACTTTGTGGCACATGCCTGTAATTTCAGCACTCGGGAGACTGAGGGAGCAGGATCCTTGAAAGTTTAAGGCCAGCCTCGGGTACATAGTGATTTCAAGGCCAGCCTGAACTGCATAGCCGGACCCTACCTCAAAAGCCAAAAAAACAAACACAACAGTAACAACAACAAAACAAAAACCAAAAACTGCTTGGTAACCTGACTCTGCCTAGGAGGAGCAATGTCTGGGATCTGAAATGCTTCCTCCTTATAAAATAAAAGGAAGGGTGCAGTTGCTGTAAAATGCCAGAAAATGATTGGAAAGGAATCATATTCGATGTAGTTATTCATTGGAAGTGAATTCTCATGGCAAACGGACTCAAACATTTTCAGATTTAGTATTCATTCTTTTAAGATCCTGGTTCCTATTATTTTCAACAGGGAAGTTTTAAAGTTCCACAACTAAGGCATCTCTAAGAAGATAACTTGGTGTTAGTCGGAGACATGGCTTATTCCTGGCAGAGAGTTGGGGTCAGGTAGTTCTGGAATCATGTTAGAAGGTAGCGGAGGAGTTAGCTAGTCTAGAGCACGCATGTCACATGAGGATGGCCTCCATGCCATGCCACCCCTGCTTCTACACCTCAGGGTAGTGCCCCAAGCCCGAGGCAGCTCCTTCATTATCAACATTTCAACAGTTTGTGAGTTCTAATAGCTGGAGTAGTTTTGCTAAACTTTTAGCCAGTGACTCTACTTCTTTTCAGGGAGGTTAACTAGTAGCAAAGTGATTCTATGAAAACCTAGTCAGATGCCTTCTGAGTCTTCTCTTTCCTGGTTAAAGCCACAAACACTCTTCTCAGGGAATTTGAGATCTTTTCATCGATTTGGTCCTTCCATTTGGTCAATGACCTTTTAAAGAGGACACCTGGACCAAGACACATCATGTAAAGGTACAAGATCCCAATGAGAAATGTAACTGTATTGTTTGCTTTAAATGTACCAGTAAAGTTAATAGGGAAAAAAGGATACCTGGAACTGCAAGCAGTACTTAAGGAGTTCTTAAGGTCTATAAAGATTGAGCCAGTTGTAGAGATTTGTTTCTTCATCCCATCTTTATTTTTTTAATGATAGCTCCATGATTCTTAGAATCCACATTAAATCAACAATATTCATAATCAAATATAACTGAGTTGGGTTTGCCTATACTTTCTACCTCACTAACCTAAATGGACAATGGAGTAATAGCTGTCAGTGTCATCTTTGTTCCAAAGTGCTCCTCCGAGACTCCTTGGTCAGTGGGAGAAGATTTTTAGTGGGCCAATCCAAGTCTGCACAGAGATATCCTGGAAAACAAGAAGCCAATAAAGGCTGCTGTTTATTAAGCAGATGGTAAATGCCACCATCCTAACTCACTGACCTGCACATGTGGAGAGTTCAGGGAGAACTTCTTTTCTGAATGTGGTGATCAAACTCTACCATCTGGTCATTGGCTCCAATCCTCCACTTCCAGCAATAATGGTCTAGAAGTCTTACCAGCTGGGCACAGCCCCTAGTCACTGGAGGATCAGATTAATACAACAACTTAGTTTCCAGTATGATTAAGGATGCTGAATTAGCTTCAAGTTGGGCTCAAGGGTGATGGGGATGTGTTCAGAAAGAGGGGCCTGAGTTCCTTGTTTGAATGACAGCCTCTGTGTCTCTCCTGCTCTGTATGTTTCTGCAGTCCCCTCCGTGCTGCACAGCTACATGAGGAATCAAGAACGCACGAAGCAGCAGACCATATACCAAAGTGACTACGGGAAAGCCTACCTGGACTTCTTAATGATCCTGAATTCATTTACTCCCTCTCAAGTTAATGAGTACCTTCAGAGTGTTTCCTACAAAGGTAAGATGAAGTCTTAAATTAGCATTTCATGCATTTACAGATCATAATACATTGCTTTCACGTATTCATCTATTCATACTCCAAATCGCAATTGTTTTCATCTATAGGCGTTAGAGTTGAATGTTCACAAAAAACATAAGTATTGATTAAAAAAAAAATCCCATTGTTCTGTGAAATCCTCAATCCCCTGAAAAAAGTTTGTCCTAAAAAAGGCTCCAGTGATGCAATATTAATTTATTAAAAAGATGTAGAGCTTTACACCTATTTCTCATCTCATTTTGCAGTGTTCAAACTGCTCTGGATCAATTTCTCTTTTTCCTACAGCTAATTTATTTTCTCAGTGAGTGATTGTAGTATTCCATAGTTTTGTTTTGTTTACTTTTTCCTATTTGGTGGTACTCTTTTGTGACAGACTGTTTAAGGTCCATGACAACCTTCATATTTCACACTGGCAAAGACAGCAGATGCTATTCTCAGAATGGCATCGCTTCGAATAACAAAGACGTATCCCATTTTGGCTCTGAGTGACTGAGATGGATTTGGGAGTATCCCAGGGGCAGTCTAACTTAACTGAGAGCATGTGAAATGTCCATTCAGGGGAGAAAGGAGACTGAAGAGAAGAAACAAAATCCTTCCCCTACCTGTAGCACCTCAGGACTTTGCAGGGAATCACATGGACTGTCACTCCTCATGTCTGAGCACATACCGCAGTGCACACATATATGTCACCTGAAGTGAGCTTATATTCCACCAAACCAATGTATTATGTCCTTTAGGAAACACCATCCTTTTTTTTTTTTTTTTTTTTTTTTTTTTTTTT